GTCGTGTCATTGGAAATGTCATGAGCATTGTCAATATCATCTGGGAGACGTGTCATAGGAAATGTCATGAGCATTGTCAATATCATTTGGGAGATGTGTCATAGGAAATGTCATGAGCATTGTCAATATCATCCTGGGTCGTGCCATTGGAAATGTCATGAGCATTGTCAATATCATCTGGGAGACGTGTCATAGGAAATGTCATGAGCATTGTCAATATCATTTGGGAGATGTGTCATAGGAAATGACATGAGCATTGTCAATATCATTTGGGAGATGTGTCACAGGAAATGACATGAGCATTGTCAATATCATCTGGAGAACATGTCATAGGAAATGTCATGAGCATTGTCAATATCATCTGGGGGACATGTCATAGGAAATGTCATGAGCATTCTCAATATCATCTGGAAGACATGTCATAGGAAATGTCATGAGCATTCTCAATATCATTTGGGAGATGTGTCATAGGAAATGACATGAGCATTGTCAATATCATCTGGGAGACGTGTCATAGGAAATGTCATAAGCATTGTCAATATCATCCTGGGTTGTGTCATTGGAAATGTCATGAGCATTGTCAATATCATCCGGGGGTTGTGTCAAAGGAAATGTCATGAGCATTGTCAATATATGGGGTTGTGTCATAGGAAATGTCATGAGCATTGTCAATATCATCTGGGAGACGTGTCATAGGAAATGTCATGAGCATTGTCAATATCATCCTGGGTTGTGTCATTGGAAATGTCATGAGCATTGTCAATATCATCTGGGGGTTGTGTCAAAGGAAATGTCATGAACATTGTCAATATATGGGGTTGTGTCATAGGAAATATCATGAGCATTGTCAATATATGGGGTTGTGTCATAGGAAATGTCATGAGCATTGTCAATATCATCTGGGGGACATGTCATAGGAAATGTCATGAGCATTGTCAATATATGGGGTTGTGTCATAGGAAATGTCATGAGCATTGTCAATATCATCTGGGAGACGTGTCATAGGAAATGTCATGAGCATTGTCAATATCATCTGGGGGACATGTCATAGGAAATGCCATGAGCATTGTCAATATCATCCTGGGTTGTGTCATTGGAAATGTCATGAGCATTGTCAATATCATCTGGGAGACGTGTCATAGGAAATGTCATGAGCATTGTCAATATCATCCTGGGTTGTGTCATAGGAAATGTCATGAGCATTGTCAATATCATCCTGGGTTGTGTCATTGGAAATGTCATGAGCATTGTCAATATATGGGGTTGTGTCATAGGAAATGTCATGAGCATTGTCAATATCTGGGGGACGTGTAATAGGAAATGTCATGAGCATTGTCAATATCATCTGGGAGACATGTCATAGGAAATGACATGAGCATTGTCAATATATGGGGTTGTGTCATAGGAAATGTCATGAGCATTGTCAATATCTGGGGGACGTGTAATAGGAAATGTCATGAGCATTGTCAATATCATTTGGGAGATGTGTCATAGGAAATGACATGAGCATTGTCAATATATGGGGTTGTGTCATAGGAAATGTCATGAACATTGTCAATATCATCTGGGAGACGTGTCATAGGAAATGTCATGAGCATTGTTAATATCATCCTGGGTTGTGTCATTGGAAATGTCATGAACATTGTCAATATATGGGGTTGTGTCATAGGAAATGTCATGAGCATTGTCAATATCTGGGGGACGTGTAATAGGAAATGTCATGAGCATTGTCAATATCATCTGGGAGACATGTCATAGGAAATGTCATGAGCATTGTCAATATCATCTGGGAGACATGTCATAGGAAATGTCATGAGCATTGTCAATATCATTTGGGAGATGTGTCATAGGAAATGACATGTGCATTCTCAATATCATCTGGGGTTGTGTCATAGGAAATGTCATGAGCATTGTCAATATCTGGGGTTGTGTCATAGGAAATGTCACGAGCATTGTCAATATCATCTGGGGGACATGTCAGGAAATGTCACGAGCATTGTCAATATCTGGGCTTGTGTCATAGGAAATGTCATGAGCATTGTCAATATCTGGGCTTGTGTCATAGGAAATGTCATGAGCATTGTCAATATCTGGGAGACGTGTAATAGGAAATGTCATGAGCATTGTCAATATCTGGGTTGTGTCATAGGAAATGTCACAAGCATTGTCAATATCATCTGGGGGTTGCGTCATAGGAAATGTCATGAGCATTGTCAATAATGGCTCATAAGAAATTAACCATTGATGCTCAGCATTCATTGTAGCGGTAATGTGGACATTGAAAACATATTTTACGTAAACAATTTCTCTCAATACAGTTATGCTTTAGACTGATCTGTCAATGCATATTCTTTCCATGTTTTTGTATTCAAGCGTATTTTGGGTAAATGTGGCTTGTGTGATTGAGTTGAAAATAACAACATACTGTTATCTAATATATTACACATGAAAACAAGGTATTTAAGATATCGCATATACTTCTCATACATCATCAGACATTTCATAAGGCATTTGACATAGCAACATATTACTATGGAAACCCTAGATTCCAATAAATAGCAAATAAAACATTGTGCTCTTTTTAATTTCAGTCAAAGTAAGAATATTACATCTATAAAACATATACATATTTAGAAAGCTTTGATAAAAAGTGTTTTTTGAAGCAAGATTGGTTAATTATTTTATTCAGTAATTTTGAGGCTTGCTTATATACATATGGTTTAATCAGAGAGAAGACAAATTCTAATAAATGTAAATGCTGCAATCTGAGTTTGTATGAAATAACTGAAAACTCGGGTATAAAACACAAACTTGATTAGTGACGTCAAGTCTGAAAACAAGAACTACGAGGCACCACTAAAACATATCACTTTGTACTGAACTCTCATACATACCTCAAACTATTACAAAGTCATAACTAAATAGTTCCTTACTGATCATATAGAGAAAATAAAGAAAATCCTTCTTAAAGTCATACAAGTTGGGTGTACACACTGTTAAATCCCATTTTCATTAGAAACAATTGTGATTCATACATACCAGAAATGTTGCATTTTCAATTACTACAATACATTGAACAATACACTTTTAAAAACAAGTCTTGTCATTTAAGAATGAGACCCATGTTCGTTGACACTTATATTCAAACCATGTTTCTCATTGAAAATCACATTTTACTACCTACATGTTATATATTTTATGTTAGCACTATATTTATAGTTGCTGAAAATTATATTTATTTTCGAATATATGTGTTTGTTTGGTTTGTTCCAAAATGTTCCTGAAAGATGATGAAGTGGGTACTGTGTATCAAAATCAACATTTTATCAGCTTCAGAAAAAATACTTTTATTATATTCATTTTCACTAATAAACATTAAAAGTATTTTTGAGTAAATTACTAGTTTTTGTCACTAAAAGCTGGATTTCTTTCATTTCAAAAATGTTATCCAGTCTGAGACACATTAATATTAGTACATGTTGCAGGTGTGGAAATTTCAGAAAAATCGGTTAAGGCAATGGTGACTTGTATTATTTATAATTTTTATCAGAAAATGCTAAATTGCATAACCAATGAAGATTCAGATAATTACAAAAAGTAAATTTTGACCAAAAATGTCATATGAACATGGACGTCATACTTAAAGACCTATCATCAGTATTTAGCACTGAAATATGAATACAATCTTTTTAAAATAAATCATGACAATCATAAACACTTTTCAACATGATTAGCCACTATATGGCACCAAACCAATAATCGTAATACCCTTACTACTACATGATTTGCTCCATATGGTACCATAGACACCCACGTTTCCAACATCATGGTGCTATACCCGCCGGCAAACACAGGTTTCCTCACCGCCATATAGTACCATATAAAATGTCCTCACCACATGACTAATAAATGGTTAAAGTTGACTAATACAGTTTCATGAAATTTCTTAGAAATCGTTATGTGAAAACATTTCATATGCAGGGAACTCCACAGGTAAAAAGTAAAGCACAAACCATTTTATTACAAGAAATTCTACTGTTCTGTTTTTAAATCTCTAGATAATATGACCTAATTGTAAACATATAAAAGTTTTGGTAGTCATGTCCTAATAAATGGGCTATAGAACAGATTCTTATGTGAGCTCCTGTGTGTTCATCCCAGAAATATCCTAGTTCTTTTAACAGAATAAAAAATTTTTTTATTAAAAATCACGATTAAACCAGAAATGGCAAATTATGGCAAAAAGCAAAAATGGAACTGTATTAATCACCCTTCAACTGAAGTTCTTCAAAAATAAGATCATTCACTATTATAACTTATTTTAAAAATCACATGGTAAATGTCAACTGGCTCAATAATGTTAAATGCTGCTTGTGACAAACTGATGAGCACAGCATACTACCAATACCTCATATCAGATAAATATTGTCCACACAAACGCATTCCATAGATTAAACACAACTTATCACATTGCAGGGCAGAGAATATATAGTGTGAGACCAAACTTAAAATACCAAAATATACATCAATTTATAAACGTATCTGGTTTTATAATAAACATATAATGGAAAATAAACAACAGAATACCCCCAATTGATTTTGAAAATATTTACATATCATGTGGTATTGATCCACCAATCAGGTGCCAATTATATTTGATCATGCCTTGGCAACACTGGAATGCATTCACTGTTGATGAGGTGTTTAATATGTATTTGACTGTTTTCAATGAAAAAATAGATCTTGATTATTATTTAATAATATGAATCAGTAAGAGCAGGTGACGGTAACAAATCAGCATATAACTGGTTAATAAAATTAACCCTACTATATCTGCTCAGGAGTAAATGCAACTAAGCGACAAAGCAAGCACTATTTCTATCATACCCTCAATGCCAGATGTCTGACGCCTCATGATGCAGGTATATATTGACTAAACCTTAAAGTCAAAATGTTATCACAACAATCCACAGCTAACTGATATAATCATTTTGGTTTTGGCTCAACAAGTTATACCGTCTGAACTAATATATACCAGATTAGATCAGTACAGTAGTAGACCAGGGATCGTATTCAGATGTTATGCCTTTACATATAGAAAGCCACGTTGTGTTTTAAAATAACACATTCCTTTTCTAGTACTTGACATATTGTGGGTCACAACATTTCTATTCCATACAATACTGGAGTATTCAGGTCTGCAGCAGCAGTAAAGATGACATCAGAAAACAAACTGAGTATAAAAACAATGTAAATTTCACTGACGGACAACACTAAATTGTCTTCATTATGTCTTCTGTAAGTATAGAACTACTGTTATGTTTCTTGTAATCGTAAAGTGATGAAAGTCCTGCATAATGGACATATCTCAACCTGTATCGCGCACTCCATGCATAGTCCCCTACAAACAAACAAATAAACATGTATTTTATTGATTCATTGTAAAGCTACATCTGACACTGATCTCAGTTTTGATTAATTATTCATTTTGGAAATCAACAAACAAATCTACTGGATGCTTTGTGATTTTGCTTAAGAATGACATTCCAGTAGAACTATATTGGCATGAAACAAAGTCAGCATCTCTAATCCACTTCCCCTTTCCTTGGTAGTAAAAGTGGAAAATAGGTGATAACTGCTTGGACCAATAAATGTACCCTACTTCCACAATCATAAGTCCCTTCCCAATTATATGCCCACCCCTCTATTTTTAGACATTTAACGAGTTGAGGGCATCTAAGATTATAAGCCCAGAGTGTTTTTACCGGGCGTTGATGACATTTATTAAAATATGCATGTAAAAGTGTATTTTATTGCATAATAATTGTGATTGATATGGTAGTTTGGTTCAAGCTTTTATGAGAAATTTCTGAGTGCAACATGGTTCGCTCACTTTCCATTATGTTATTTAATCAGGATGAAGCCCTATGTTGCAATATTGAAGTAATCCATATTTTTTTTTAATAGAAGCTTTCAAAACATCAAAAATGCGATCGTCAAGTCGTGAAACCTGGTCATTGGTCATCGTTTTACTGAATCGTATCCATTGAGACTATTGTGAATTTGGTGTGAATGAGTAAACTATTCCTTGAGGAGACCTGTTGGCGACCATGAACGGTGTTTAAATACTTCCTCCACAAATCACCATTTTTTAGGGAAAAAATCACTGTTTTTTCGTCGTAATCAGTGCTACAGATCGCATTTTAACATTGCGGTAATCCACTTTCGCATTGCATTATTACTTTATCAATATCAGAAAATTTCATCAGTACAACACAGCATTTTTATTGATTAATTAAAGACGTGACGTGTCAAAAGGACGTTGTTTCGGGTCAAATAGTACTGTTTAAACATAATGGCGGAAATTGCTTTGCATCAAGAGTTTGCTTACGATCGAAAACATTTCACAACAAAGATAAACATCTCGGTATTTTACAGGGTATTTTCATCCTACCATATTACGAAATATAGAATGATTACACGCATAAGCATTCTCTAATAATATCAAAGAAAGCTTAGAAAGAACTCCCGTGTGCTGAGAGTATTGAAGACACATTAAAAATTAATTCAAAATTACTTGAACTTGAGATATTGATGGAAACACAGAAAACTAATTATGCAAATAAGAAAACAAATATGAACAGATTCAAGTGTAAAACTAATAAGGTCTGCACAATGTACCAAGTTTCATTGAAATGTGATTAGAACCAACAAATTATTAATTATTATGCTAATTAGAGAATTAATATGAACAGATTTTAACCCAAAATTAATCAGGCTGTCTATTGTCTTAGAGCATTTATGTACCTAGTTTTATTCAAATGTGATGATCAATACTTGAGATATGAGTATTAATTAATTATGTTAATTAAGAAGCATAAATATTTACAAAAAACTAATATGGTGTATAGTCCTAGGTTCATTGAAATGTGATGGGTACTCTTTAAAAGTTTCATTAAAATCCAGTGAGTGGTTTTTTAGACAGTGCAACAGCCAGCAAAAAATTAACTAATTATGCAAATCAGGTAATAAATTATGCACAATTATTTATCTCAAAATTAATCAGGTTGTTGTGGCGACACTTTTTTTTGACTTCCTAGGTGAGCCCAGAATATAATGTGACAACGGAAGTAATCGCACATCCAGCAATTGAGAAATTAATGTATTAAGAAGAATAATCAAAGAAAGCTTAGAAAGAACTCCCATGTGCTGAGAGTATTGGAGACACATTAAATATAATTCAAAATTACTTAGCTGAAAACTAATTATGCAAATCAGAAAATTAATATGACCAGATTTGAGTGTAAAACTAATGAGGTCTGCGCAATGTAACAGCAAATCTATGTCTCCAAGTTTAATTGAAATGTGATTAGAACCAAAAAATTATGAATTATTATGCTTATTAGGGAATTAATATGAACAGATTTTTACCCCAAACTAATTAGGTTTGTACATTGTCCTAGAGCATCTTTGTACTAAGTTTCATTGAAATGGAATAATTAGTACCGTGAAAACTCCAAAATTTCAACCCCCCGCCCCCTAAAAATTCGACCGCCTATTTATTTGCCGGGTTTCGGTATTTTATTTACTTCCAAATTTTTCGACTCCACTAAAAATTGCCGACTCATTCTTAT